CTTGGACAAATCCCGAACTGAGTGTTGATAAATGGCACTGGTTGATTTGCTTCGACCGAGCGGGCGACCTAGATTCTTCTTGGTGCTATTTCGACGCAGCATCGCCGGTCTGGATACACAAAAAGGGTCTGTTGTCGAAAGAAGCGACGGACGACGGGACCTATGGCTGCCTGTGCTAAGTGTGCTGCTCTAGATTGATGCTGAGCAAACTTGAAGGCTGTAGCAGATGAATAAGAGCTGTGGAAAAGCTATCACTGATATAATCTCATGGGGCTTGGGCAATGATGGCAACAAGCAAGAATGGATGGACGTGGAGAGCAGCAGGACAGCTTCGTTTATGCCCTTGTTGATCAGGCCTTCTTCGCCTGAACCTTCAGGAAAGTAAAAGCAGCCAGAAATGGCAGAAGGCGCACCCGACTTCAGCCATCGTTCTTGCCTCTTGAAACCGGGCGCCTGCTTGGGCAGTGCGCCGTGGACAGAGTGCCCATCAAATAGGCCGCCCGGGAAAGTCACTTTCTCAAGCACACCATCCTCGCGTCCGAAAACATACACCGGACAGTAGAACCTCTCTGCCTGCGTACCTCTTCATGTGGCTGCCAGGGCACTAGAGCAAAGTATAACTCAGACACGTCTACACTTGGGCGGCCAGTTACCGCGACGACACGAGCAGGGAGGCCAAACTCTAAGTCAAAAAGGCGCCACGTTATCACAAAATACACCAATCGGTATTCACACAATACCTTATTGATTGAATAATCAATGAATGTATTCTAGGCTGATGATGCACAATCCATGTTTCATACAAATAATTCCTGATGACACGGCGAAAAAAAGAGGGAGTGGAAGCTGGGATAATGCCCTAGGCTCCGTCAAATTGCATAAAGAACCAAAACAAAACTCTGCGCCAATCTACCAAATTGTTACCCAAAAACTATCCATCCTTGCATGATCCAGCGGTATCAGGTGCCCGTATTATGGGAGCTGGCATTTACATAGAGATCTCAGAGAGGAACTTGCTGATCTCCTCATCAACAACATCGTGAATTCGGTCAGCGAACTCCTCGGCCTTGTTGGCAAAGTTGTGTGCATTCTTGGCAACTTCCTTGGTAACAGACTCGAGCTTCTTCTCGACAACACCCTCGAGCTTCTCTACGGTGGTGGGGCGGGAGCTGACGGTGTAGCTACCAGCCTCGATGATCTTGGAGTAGTTGCTGCAACCGCCACCGTTCCAGGCGAGCAGGTTGGGGGTATCAGCGTCAGGGAGTCCGCTGAGGGCACCCTTGGTGGCAACAGAGATGAGGCTCTTCTTCAGCTCATTGGGGGTGATGGGAGCAACGGCGAATTCGGAGTCACCGGCAGGCTGAAGGGAGAGGTAGTAGGCCAGGAGACCAGCCAGATGAGGGGAGGCCATCGAGGTACCAGAGATGGTGTTGATGGCATGGCTGGAACCGATCCAGGTCGACTGGATGCTGACACCAGGGCCGAAGATATCAGTGCACTTGCCGTAGTTGGAGAAGTAGGCACGGTCATCACTCAGGTCAGAAGCGCCGACGGTCAGAGGGAGCTCGGCAGCAGCAGGAGAGTACTTGCAAGCGTCAGCATTGTCGTTGCCAGCGGCGACGGCAAAGTGAACACCGGCCTTGACGGCGGCGTTGACGGCGGCGTCGAGGGCAGAGGTCTTGCCACCACCAAGAGACATGTTGGCAACGGAACCCTTGAAGCCCTTGCGCTTGCCGTCCTTGGCCAGCTTCACCTGCTCGGCGTGGGACTCGGCGGCGTACTCAACACCCTTGACGACATCGGACATGGTGCCGGAACCGTTGGATCGGAGCACCTTGACAGCGTAGACGCTGGCCTTCTTGGCAACACCGTACTTCTTACCGGCGATTGTGCCGGAGCAGTGAGTACCGTGACCATTGCCATCCTCGTCAGCATCGCCAGCGGGGATTGTCTTCCCCCACTTGGCACGGCCCTCGAAGTCGACGTGGTCAACGTTGGTGCCAGTGTCAATAACGTAAGCATCAACGCCCTCACCAGCCTCGGCAGTGTAGAGGTACTTGTTGAAGGTACCGAAGCCAAGGGTGTCACGGTGAGAAATACGCGCAAGACCCCAAGGAGCCTGCTTCTCGGTCTCACCATCGCACTTGTCCTCGGTCACGGCGTTCTTGGTATCGACGGGAAGCATGGTGTGGACAATGGTATCCCGCTCAATGTATTCGACCTTGAGAACAAGACTGGTTAGACAAGAACTCTATCATGAATCATGTGGAGCTAAATACTTACATCGGGGTGGTTGCGGAGCTCCTCGATGGTGTCGGGATGGAAGTGACCGGCGTAGCCCCTGAAAGCACTGCCGATAGAAAAGGTGTGCTTCATGCCAGCGTATTCCTTGCCATCGAAGCTGCGCTTGCGAAGCTCATAGTTGTTGTCGTCAGAGGCACCCTGGAGTGTCTGGACCCAGGAGTGGTGGTTGGTGGCTGATGCGTCATCTACATGGTCCTTGAACTTGACGATGTAGGAATCAGGAATCTGGTCAGCATCAATGCTGCTCAGAACAGGCGCCGAGTTTCCATGGATGGTCTCGGTGCTGAACGAGGTAGCAGTGGCAACAGCGGCCAGGGAAAGAGCTGCAACACTGCGCATTGTGATGATAATGAACGTGGTGATCAAGGGAGATTACAATCAGCCGGTTCTACCCGAGGCGCAATTCAAGTGCTGAGATGCAGCAATGAGAGATTCAGATGCCCGTCGATGAGAGAACGGTGCAAATGAACAGTAACGATGGCGATGGGGTGGTTGGCGATGATGGAAGGAGAGAGTTGGATGAGGGATGGGAAGGAACAGGACGGGAGCTCGGTGGGCGCAGGCGAGTACCTTTGTAGGAGGACTGATAGCGATAGGCGGCGAGCGCTGTGACGCATCCAGTCAGCCGGGCTGATAACAGGGTGTGGGCCGCCAAAGTCTCAGAAGGGCTAATCCAACTCAGAATACGGCCAATGTGGTGACGCAGTGGTTCCCACAGCAATGCGATAACGGCAACGCAACCCTGCCCGCGCCAGCCCCCCAATGTACCTGTACTTCTGCCTATGCTCACCCGCCGCTTGGCAGTGCGTTCCTGCGTCCTCCCTGGAGCCTCGGGCGGTTCACATGAACCCGCAGCTAGGCCGCAGTGATAGCTTCGGAGCAGATGAGGGAGCAGATGGCAGCAGCAAGCGCCAGTTGGAGGCACAGAGTGCGCAGCAGAATTTTTTTTTTAACTCGTCCCAAGCAGCGAACAAACTTCTGCCGCGATTCAGGGGCGCAAGGTATCACGACCGACTAGCGAGATACCAACGCCACCAGTCGCGCCAGCTCCCTACCAGATCGCATCATCATGTGGTTGGCTCTGAACCTTGATCTCAACAAGCTCCTGCAGGGCAACCAGGCACGCTGTGTCAGGACCTAGCGGTTGCCTCACTGGTTCCACTCGTCACGCCTCTCATGTACCTGTACTTTACTCCCACTAAGCCGCGACCTACTGGCACGAATGCGGGGGAAGCTCCCTCGTCGACCCTCATCAAGGTGTGCCCATTCGAGCTGGCCTCCTGATCTGCTAAGGTGCATGGGTCAGCTACCTACGTACGGCACGTGCCTCTTGTTGAGACTCGGCGAGCGAGCTATTTGTCTCGGGCGGCCTGGCCGGAGATGTAACCCCGAGGGACACTGGCTGACATTGTTGGGGTAGAGGCAGGTCTGGTGCCAATCTAGATCTCCGTAAGAGACAGGCCAGCTGGGAACAAGCTCGTCTCCTGTTGTGAGGACAGACAGCAGCCAGTGGCGGTGCACTTGGTACAGTGTCCAGCTTCTGTGTACCTAGAAGGGCCTGTCTCAGTCTAGCGTTGACCCAGTTTCAACTTCCAACCGAACCAACGAGGCTGTAAGCGCCAGGCGATCAGATTGTTCATCAAGGAGATATCCATGCCGCCAGGCTGAGTAGCAGTTAACCAGGTTCAACACGTAACCCCATGCCTCCGCCCGTCCTGCCTGTCCTGCCTCAGGTGCCTGGGGATTCAGCTCGTAGGTAGCATATGATTAGCAGTCTTCCCCAAGCCGGCTGGAATTGGCTGCGACATGGGCTCAGTTGGTCCACTTTAACGGTACAACGCGCTTCGGGCTACTCAAGTTGGAATCTAGATACCTTGCTTAAGTGACAATGTAGGTACCCTACACTTCCGGACTGTGTGGGATGATGCTCGATGGTGTCTTTTGTCACGGGAGAACGCAATGCCGTTATGAAGATCTACAGCTCGTGTGGCCCTTCTCCAGATCTTAACCTTTTTTGAATCCGGACTCACGTTCACTCGTACGTTTGGGCTTACGTGTTTCGCTTGTACGACGACGACCAAGCCGGCTTAAGACGTTCAATTCGTGCAGTTTCTGTGCGACAACAATGAACATGACAGAACCCAGATTTAGCTCTTCATCTTGAAGATCTCGATGACGTCCTTGTTGCTGCACCACAAAGGTCGTTAAGGTTCTGGGCATGGATTCCCGTTTCCTGCTCCAATGCACAGTTCACTAAGGTAATTGAAGGTGGGTAATTGGTTGAGCCACACGTCAAGCCACACCTTTCGCTGGAGCCTGCAGTCGCAGCCTGGAGGCCCCGTAAGCGGCAGCACAGCCTACCAGGAGTTCAAGAAACCATGTTTACTATCAGATCGCTCTCATCTTACTCTGAGAGGTGCTCCGTAACAGCCACGCCGTTTAATTCGTAAAAGCAGAGTACCGGTGTCCAGACGGCCCTCACGAATATTGGCGCATTGCTTCCCGCTATCTTCCTGGACGCCCATATCAGTGATTGTTGCGCCACAGGACCCAGCGCAAGCTTTCATGCGCCCCGCGTCCAACTACTGGCGATCTAGCCTTTCGATGCTGATTCAGTTAGGCATAAACCTAGGCCCTTGAAGGGTGTCTGGGGAGAATCCAGAGTCTTGGAATGCTGCTACGGCAATAAGCAGAACATGTCTGCTCTCCCGCGACGTTATCGGTCGTCCACATCGGCCTCCTACTCGACACCCACCAAATCGAAATCTCTCGAAGTCCTCACTGCTCTGCTCGATGGCGTCGACCCGGCGGCGGGACCGCGATGCGAAGACGGATACCCCGATGCCTCAAAGGTGATTAAGGGGCTTCGGCAAATCGCCCAGCATGTTGGTGTGGCCAGCAACTCCAGCCATCAAGACGATTTTCGACACGCTCGAGGCTTCGAGCGAATACTAGATGTTTTACGTGCCTTCTCAGGCTTCTACGATCCGAAGAAACGAAGCGATGTGGATATGTTATTATTGTTCACACTTCTGGGGGAGTGCTTGACCGTGTTGTCTGCGGCTCTGCGGGACCATGCTGGTAACAGACGTTTCTTCCGTTTCAAGGTTGAGGGTGGTGGTTGGGAGTCTCTGGAGCAGACTATCGCAAGTATTGGCCTTGGCGGAGCTGAGCCTGACCCATGGATTAGCTGCCATGTTTTCGGGAAGCTCCTTGCATTTGCTCTTGATGACGAAGGTCCAGATTTGCTCTGTACCTCCATTGCCAAGACTCTCCACTCATCCCAAGACGACTCGCTGGACGGTTCAACGGGGGAAGTAAAGGACAACTCGAAATACACAGATGCTGATATTGGTGGGGATGAACAATGGGACCTTGTTCTGGCCAAGTCGATTGAAAATATCGGACCAAACGTACGGGAGATCATTGATGCCAAGACTTTTGTCCGGCATCCGGAGATTCTCAGAGTTGTTGTGAGCTTCTGGTCCGCAATCCCAAGGACGGTGGAAACACCACCGACGGCCGCGTCTCTGATTGTCCTTGAAATCATTTACTGTCTAATGTCGGACTCTGTCCGCAACTGCGCTGCCATCCATTCCACCCGTGTGCTCTCTCAGTTCCTACGAGCCGTCTTCCAACCCGACTCAAATCTTGGCCAGCTTGAGCGCCAACGGGTCTTGGATATTTGCAAACAGCTCATGTATCTTGGTGTCAATGAGCCAGCAGATACACAGTTTCTGCTCTCAACACCTGGGGCTGATGTTTCCGACTTTTGCCTGGAGATGACTTCCAAATACTCGGGACCGCCTTTTTTCCAATTTGATCTCTCACTCCACGGATACTCGTCGTTGGAGTTGGCTACAATGGGCCGGTCGTTTCCACCACAATCTGCTGCCGGATACACGTTTACAGCTTGGATCCGAGTAGACAACTATGATCCCTCTTCCCATACTACTATTTTTGGTGTCTACGATGCTACTCAGACTTGTTTTCTGTTGATGTATCTCGAGAAGGATACCCACAATTTTATCCTACAGACTTCAGTGGTCTCTAGTAAGCCAAGTGTTAGATTCAAGACGGTTTCGTTCCAGACAAAGCTGTGGTACCATATTGCCCTTGTCCACCGCCGCCCTAAGACCATGGTCTCCAGCAAAGCATCTCTTTATGTCAACGGCGAGTTCGTTGAGCAGGCCCGTTGCAACTATCCCTCGGTCCCTCCCCTTTCCAACGCTAAGAATGAAAGCTTCGCGTCCTTCAATTCTTCGCAAAACCAAACCAACCCGGTCCAGGCGTTCCTCGGCACCCCCAGGGCACTCTCTGCCAAAATCGGCAAGGGCAAGGTATACTCTAAATTATCGCTTGCTTCAGCGCACCTGCTCGAGGATGTACTGAGTGATGACTACTTGGCTGTTCATTTTGGTCTTGGCCCTCGTTATCAAGGCAACTTCCAAGATAGTTTAGGTGGGTTCCAAACATATCAAGCGTCTGCCGCTCTGGGCCTCAGGAACGAATTTATGAACCCCGGGCATAATGAGTCTTCGGATATTTTGAGAGCTATCCGTGAGAAAGCGAGCAGCATTCTACCGGAGAATAAAATCCTCCTGAGCATAACCCCCTCCGCGACCTTCCCAGAGAATGTGCATTATCTCTACAATGGCCTTTTAAGGGCTTTACCACGCCCGGCCTTGCGGAGCCTGCACCGTATTTCAAGCCAGGAAGGTGGCCCATTAGCCGTCAACTCTGCTGTTGCTTCTATTTCTGATGCCTTATTCCGGACTCACGGCATTGCGTCTTTCCGGGGAAGTCCGATTGTGAGCGTTCCTTCATATATCGATGAAGACTTGTGGCGTCTTGCCGGATTTACTCCCCTTGCGTTGAAGCTTCTGGAGAGGGCGTCAACTGTAGATGAGACCATCCGTGCCCTTGAAATTATGTTTTATAGTATTCGTCAAAACTGGAGGAACAGCGAAGCGATGGAGCGAGAAAACGGTTATGGTGTTTTGAGCATGCTTTTGCGCTTCAAACTTGGCTATGCTGGTGCAGCCGCCAACGACGGGCCTGTATCGCGTCTCTTCATTTCAAACGCCGACAAGGACAGCCTCACCTTCCGGATACTTAGCTTGATCCTTGGATTTGTGGGTTATATCCATGGATCACCCGTCGAATCGTTCATTGTGAATCCTCTGGCTTATCGTATTCTACTTATTGATTTGGACATTTGGCGGAGATCTGCACCTCGGATCCAGGAGCTTTACTATCGGCAGTTTGTCACTTTCGCCGTCCAGAGCAAGCACCATGCCTTTAACAGCAGGAGACTGGTTCGAATGCGTAGGTGTTCCCGTTTTGACATCACTTCAACGACTTGTTTCTGACATCAGCTACTTAGGTATCGTGAAAAGGTTGCTGGACGCTGTCAAGGGTGAGCCAATCTCAGAAGAGACAGTCTCTCACTACATGGCTGCATTTGAAGTGCTAGTCAAGTCAAATCTTAACCAAGAGGTCATGCGTTCTCTCTCGTTGTTTATCACATACGCCTTCCATTCACCCCCGATGTCCCTTTCCCGGACGCCCCGGCCACTGTCCGCAGTTTCTAGACCTGGAACACCCTTGGTGAGGCGGCAAACTGTCGATCTGGCAAGCACTAGCCCAACACCGGCAGCCAAGTACATTGCAAAGAAGAAACTTGGGAAGAGAATTCTCGCAATGTACTCTGGGATTTTATGCGAGAAGGGCAATCAGAACTCTATTAAGAAATTTGCTCGGACAGTCACTAATAAGGTAAGCTTACGACGACAGAACTAAAATGAATATGCTGACCATTCTGCAGTGGCTGCTTTATCTCCTTGCTGAGGACGATGTAGAGATAGTAGCGCATGGTTGCAAGATCCTCGCGAGGCTGTTGGTCGCTCACGGCTCTGGCTACACGGCGAAGTTTGCTGGTAAATCGGGCGGATTTACAATCATGGCTAGCTGCCTTAAAAGGTACTGGGATGTCCAGACCCTTTGGCCTATTTGCTTGAGCATCTTTTTTGGCATTGATGTCGCCGAAATTGATTTCAGCCGCAAGTATGACATATCCACTCTTACAGATATGTTCGGAAAGCGAAAGGTTGTTTTCCCTGACGCACTGCCAATTATTACTTCGATGCTGCACCATGGCTTCAAAGAAATCGTCAGATTTCAAGAGGACCCGGATTCTCCTGTCACGAAGCTGTCCCCTGCTCTCCGCGAAGACCAAGTTGATGTGGGGCTGGACTCTGCAAAGCGAGCATATTCGATGGATATCGATGATGTTGCTCAGAGCAGAGGTGAGTGCTCCTCGCTGCATTGCCATGGATGATTTTTTCTCTGACTCCGTTTAGCAAAATTTCGACAAGAGGGTGAACGAGTCCTTGACCACAGCTTCGTTCTTGAAACCATCATCAAGTTCTTTGTGAATCTCCACAAGGATTCTTCCGAGTTTAGAGACTTTGCCCTCTCGTCTGAGTGGGTTCGCCTACATTTATCAGCCGTTTATCCTGTGGTCGTCAGTGCGAACGCAGTGACGCCAGAGGTGGAACTCAATTCGGGAAACTCGGCTCTGAACTTTGACGGAAGCGACGTTATAATACGGCCTCTGTTTGGTGGTTCTGCGCCAACACCCATCGTACGGACAAGCAGCGTGAACCTGGCCCCCTCGCCTCAGTCCACACCACCCAAAGGAACCCCTCTGCGCAGGGCTTCGTCCTTTGTCCTACTCACAGCACAGCGATCTCAACAGTCTCTGCCTGATGAGCGACTAGCACTTCCCCCTCCGAGTACGCAGGGACAGAAACCTGGTGTGCTGCTAGACGGCCTACTGAGTCTTGTCACCAGAGTCTTCATGGACCAAATCGTAGCACGAAAAGAGTTTGCTGGATTTGGGCTGTTCACGAAGGTGCCCCCTGGTTTTCAGGAACACCATGCTTACTTTGAATCCTTCATTTTGCGCAAAATGATACATGAAGTTACGAAATATATACAGGCCAACCAAAAGACGATTTGCGAACCCCGATTTCTGACGAATCTTGGCCGTTTTTGTGTTCACCTGTCAGAAGCGATTTTTGAGGGTTGGTTTCTCAACGGGGCCGAGTCCATGATTGATTTTATCGGCATGCTACTTGAGTTTTTCGAACGGCCCGATGTTGCATCCCTCAAGAGCGTCCGGCTTTGCCACCAAGCCTTGTCGTCAGTCAAAAGCTGCTTCCTGAGGATAATTCTTCTTAAGCTCTCTGACCTCGATAGCACCAAAGTGACCGAACAGGAAGCCAAAAAGTTCATTGATAAAATGGCGTATTGGCAAATGTCGATCTTGAACTGCCTGACTACCGAGGACGATTACCCAAAGCTCTTTTGGTACCAGTTGTACTCTAGGCTTGTTGATGATAAACGATCAGTTCGAATCGGAGCGACAAATTTCATGCGGGTCATTCTCGTACAAAAGCCCGAGGAGTCTAATGCGCTTATTCGATCCTGTATGCTACCAGACCAGAAAAAGCTCACCGACGACTTTCAAAAACTTACGGAGAGGGATGATGAAACATTTCTTCTCTGGGTTGACAGGAACCGTCTCTCCCTCGATATCCTCTTTCTGACAACGATGGCAAGAGCATGGGAGGACTTCGTAGGTGCCGAGAATCAGAAGACGACCGAAACAGCCAAGTCAAGAGTATCGAAACGGAAAGATAAGCTCAAGCAATGGCACCAGGAGAACCTCTCCAACGATAAAATTCTGTTCAATCACGAAGTGGGCAATGGTGCGTGGATGAAGAGCATCTATAGTTCAGAACACTTCAAATATCAACGCCTAGCGCAGGATCAGCAGGATGATTTGGCTTTTATAATCCCAGCGTGGAAGAAGATGGAAAGAGATCTGCGCCGACCTGGAGCTGTGTTCAGTGACCCAACGGCAACCGTAAGGTGGAAACTGGACCGGACGGAGGGTCGTAGCAGGATGAGACTTCGACTGCTGCCTGATTATTCGACCAATGAGGTCAAGTATCAACCCAAAGGCCAGGGCTCCAACGTACCACAACTTCACGTCAACACGACTGTAAATTCGCTTGATGGACCGGGATCTGATCCATCCTCGCCGAAGAAGAAGTCCTTGGCTGGGTTCACTGACCACGATCCTGCATCTACCACGGTGGACCAGGAACAGAACGAATCGGGAATCAACCAAGAAGATGATTTCGAACTCGTGGATGATCCGAATGAACCAATCGAGGGAGACGATGGGTTTGAGGACAAGAATCGCAAGGTCATGAGGCGTTTAGAACACGGGGATCAAGTTCAGGCCGCCTATAACATCTCTCGCATTACTGGGCTCGAAGCTTGCGAGGGCATTCTCATTATTGGAAAGGACGCACTTTATATCATGGACAACGTGTTCCAATGCGCGAATGGCGACATTGTCAATGTTTGGCAAGCCCCCCCAGAAGAGCGAGACCCCTTCACCCAAGTGGTTACTGGTGCGAAGACGATGGAGAAGCGTCAAAACGCTGGCAATCGAGAGCAAGAGTCCAGGAATTGGAAATGGCATGATGTTATCAGCATCTCGAAGCGCCGATTCCTTTTCCGTGATGTGGCAATCGAAGTATTCTTCACCGACGGACGTAGTTATTTGCTGACGCAAATCAACCCCTCGGCCAGAGACGAGTTGTTCTTGAAGATGCTGAACAAGGCACCGCATACAAGTACCGTCAGCGCTCTGCCAAACCCCGAAGATGCTTGGAGATTGGAAATGCTCAAAGTTGTGGACGAGCAGCCGCAAGGTCTTGGATCTCGGCTGGGAACCCTCTTCAATTCCACACCATGGACTCCGATTATGAAGAGCTGGCAAAAGGGAGAAGTGTCCAACTTCCACTATCTCATGATGGTCAACACCTTGGCGGGCAGAACATTTAACGACCTCACTCAATATCCGGTATTCCCATGGATCATTGCGGATTACACCAGCGATGAGCTTGACCTGCAAAATCCGGCAACCTTCCGTGATCTATCGAAGCCAATGGGAGCACAGTCACAGGAGCGAGTCCAACAGTTCATGGAGACGTACAGCGCGTTGCAAGGAATCGACCAGGAGCCCTTCCACTATGGGACCCATTACTCCTCGGCCATGATCGTATCGTCTTACTTAATTCGCCTTCCGCCGTTTGTCCAGTCTTATCTTATGGTACAAGGTGGAAATTTTGACCATGCGGACCGGCTGTTCCATTCCATTGCCGAGGCCTGGGATTCTGCTTCTCGAAGGAACAAGACTGATGTACGAGAACTCACCCCGGAGTTCTTCTGCCTCCCCGAGTTCCTAACGAACATGAACGACTATGACTTTGGTCGTCGGCAAAGCAATGACGTCAAGGTTGACGATGTTATTTTGCCACCCTGGGCCAAGGGCGATCCCAAGATCTTTATCGCCAAGCATCGGGAGGCCTTGGAGAGTCCTTATGTCAGTGAGAATCTTCATCACTGGATTGACCTCATCTTTGGATACAAGCAGCTGGGCGAAGCAGCAGTTGAGAACCTGAATGTGTTCCATCATCTGTCGTACTCTGGAGCGAGCGATCTCGATCGAATTACGGATGTCAACGAACGAGCTATCACTGCTGGTGTCATCCATAATTTTGGGCAAACCCCTCATCAAGTCTTTACCAAGTCACACCCAGCTCGAGAGACGGTCAGATGCCCCATCCGAAGACTTGACACATCTGTGTTCTCTTTGCGATGCCTTGCTAATCCACTCTTTGGTACGTATTTTGCTTGGATATCAAGCTGATATATTCTGATATTGGACTATTCATTTACTGATGATGAACAGAGAGCCGTGAACGAGTAGCATCTTTGATATACTCTCCGAAGCTGGACCGATTGCATTTCGCTTCTCCATTTCGAATTAATTTCCCACCATGGGACAAGTTTCTCGAATGGGGATATGCCGATAACAGCATTCGGTTTTTCCATAACGATAATCGCAAGGTGAGCCTCCACAGCTTAAGAGAGACAAACTTAGGGGAGAGAATCAAGTGTACTGGTGCTGATATTGTATAGTTGGCCGGTCTTTTCGAGAACCTTCATATTGGGCAAATCTCATGTGCAACCTTTGCTGATTCTAAAACACTGATTACTGCCGGAGAGGATTGCGTCATATCCGTCTTTGGGATCAAGACTTCACCTGGCAAGCCCGTGGAGCTGATACCGAAGTCAAGCCTGTTTGGCCACAAGACTCCCGTGACCACAATCGCAGCAAGCAAAGAATTTAGTACATTCGTCACGGTCTCGACTGATGGCCAGGCGCTGCTTTGGGATCTGAACCAGCTTGCGTTCATTCGGAAGCTGCCTTTGGTTCGACCGGTCGAGGATGCCAAAATCAACAACGTCACGGGAGATATTCTCTTGTGCTCAGGCCCGAACGTGCTGCTCTATACGCTCAACGGGACCCTGATCCTTGACATGAAGGTTTGCTTAGATCAAGATGACTATGTTCACAGCTGTGCCTTTTACGAAGGTGCGGCAAATGAGTGGCTCGAGGATCAGCTCATTTTCACTGGCCATCGAAAGGGACGGGTCAGCATTTGGCGTAAGAGCCTCATGGGTGGGAAATGGGCTCTGGAGCTACTGAGGAGACTTGAGCACATTGATCGAAACAGCGAGAAGGGGGATAACGTGGAAGCCGGAATCACCTGTATCAGCCCCATGCCGACATGTGTCTATACAGGTGATGATGATGGACGAGTGGTAAGTTGAATCCATTCCTTCTGTACTTTTTTTTTGACTTGGGGGGCTAACAATCGTCCTAGTATGAGTGGAATTTTGGTGGTAAAGAAAGATAGAGTCTTAGCTTACCGAGGAAACTCACCATTCGGGGCAGTATCCGGCGGACATCTGCCAAGATAATGTAAGAAGGATCCAATGCGGCTTTCCAACTTCAAACGTTGCACAACGAGCAATGGTTGGATATGGGATGAAGCATGGGCCGTGGCGTCTGGGGGAAAGATCATATATAGACCAGCATGTGTAGCTTTGATTGAATTTTATGCATTTGACCGAGGGAGTGAAACATTGTTCGGAACACCCTGTTACTGTAACCGGTCGAGGGACATATAAATTGTAAGTTTGTTTTTGTATTTGATCACAATAATTCTGGGTCTTGTGCCCTCAGTTCCCTTATGTTAGAGGCCCTGGAACGCCCTTGATGTACAAAATCTCCTAATTGATGGCACGCTCTCCTGAACGGCCGTCCAAATTCCCGGTCTCTAAAACCTCTCGCCTTTCCCGATCAATCCCATTCCTTTCATTTTTCGTTCCGGCCGGCTTAGTCGTCGTAGCCGCTCAGTTGCTTCCTCGGGCCGGAGGGAACTATAGAGTAAGCTTGTCAGTTGCGAATTCTCCTGGAGGCATCCTTATAGCATTCCTCGTCGGCAAAGGCGTGTTGATCCCGCCGAGGATCGAGGGGATATTACCTGGGTAGGTGGTCGGCACGGGCTTGGGGTCAATGTCGCCGAAGTAGTGTCGAATGGGAGGGACGACGGGCATCAGGGCAGGGCCGGTGGCGCCGATGACGACGGACCAGAAGAGAGCAGGGCGCTCGCGGGCTGCCCATCGGCAGTACTTGAGGGGTGTGGACCAGAAGATGGGCGTGGACATGGTGGGCGGCTTCTCTGCTGTCGGCTGGATATGTTAGCACTGAGCGGTGGGCGTGTATGGGCGCGTGGGATCGGGGGAGGAGGCGCGCACTCAATTGGATCGGGGACGGAGGGTGGGAGGCGAGGCGGATGTCCTCTTTTCGCTGGTGACGGGCTGAGGGAGCTCTGGCTGGTGATTATTGCGTTGAGGTCAATTGGGAGGATGAGAAATCCGGAAGAATGACTGGTCCGGCTGCTCTGAGGACCCACAGTTTTGGGGAGCGAGTTGTCGCTGCCGTCAAAGGACTCATTCCTTATCGATAAGGCGTCTGGGACTTGGAGCTGGTGGAGTACGAGTAGTGGCGCCAGAAGCACTCGTAGGTATCTGTGCCAGGGACAGCAATGAAGCAGCTTTCGGGTTGAGCATCGCGATGGAAATAAAATGTGAGATTTTTAATGATGCCCTTTCCAATTGAAAGATGCTGATTAATTAACAAACTGAGGCTGTCTGGCTTTGCAGCAGCTTGGCTGTGTTACAGACTCAGAGGCGATGACATAAGGCAGTAGGTAGTACGTAAAGTGGTACGCACTTCGAGCTGCAGCGGTGGTTTGGAGGCTGATGGTGGCCCCATAGAATATTTCCCCATGCACCAATGAGAGACATCCACGGAACCCGTTCCAAGGCTCCCCAAGCTGTCCGAAGCTCTTGAGCATCTCTCCATTGATCAACCACAAGAGCGAGCAATTCGGTCACGATGCGGTCGTTCCTGGGCGTTGTTACCTTCTTATTTGCTGCGGTTGCCTCCGCAGTCAGCACTAAAGGCAATCGCTTATTGGTACTGCTTGACGATGTTGCAGAGAAAGATGGCTACGCCAAGTTTCTGGGCGACTTGACAGGTAAGCTTGATCCTCGTGCTGGCGATGCCGATACTCTGGAATTTTAACTGATTGATCGCAGCGCGTGGATACCAAATCGTCTACGACACTCCCCGAAGCGAGCAACTGTCACTCTTCGAATTAGGGGAGAGGCAATATGACCACCTGCTATTCCTCCCGACTAAAGTGAAGGGTAAATGATATTGGCCTACCTTGAAAGGCCCCTTTGAGGGTCGCGACAGCAGTGCTAACCACACCTTGACATCCAGGCCTTGGCCCCAAGCTCACACCCAACATCTTGATCGATTTCGTGAACGCGGAAGGAAACATTCTCGTTGCCCAATCGTCAACCCACTCCGCATCCACCTCGATTGGCAACTTCCTTGCTGAGCTCGACATCACCCTCCCCGCTGGGCGGACTGGTCTTGTTGTCGACCACTTCAACTACGACACTATTAGCGCTTCCGAGAAGCACGATGTTCTCGTATTGGATGCGCCCGAGCCTGTGCGCGACAGCGTTAAGTCTTTCTTCTCGCCCTCTGCCGATGCCGTCCTGGCCCTGCCAAACACCGTCGGACACACTCTTGGTGCCGGACATCTTTTGACCCCCATTCTTCGCGCGCCTTCGACCGCCTACAGCTACAACCCCAAGGAGCAGTTTGATGCTGTCGACGCTGACGACCTCTTTGCTGCTGGAAAGCAGCTTAGCCTTGTCTCCGTCTTCCAGGCCCGCAACTCGGCCCGCGTGACAGTTCTTGGATCGGCCGAGATGATCCAAGACAGCTGGATCGAAGCCAAGGTGTCTCGTCCTCAAGGCAGCAAGGTTACTGTTGCCAACAGAGAGTTTGCCAAGGCTCTTACCGGATGGACCTTCCAGGAGCTTGGTGTTCTACGAGTCAACGAGGTGGAGCACCACCTGACTGGCAATAACGAGACCAACCCTGGCATTTACCGTGTCAAGACCGATGTGGTAAGTTCACGAGAAAAACGACCGAAGTAGATCTTTTTCGAGGGGATGTTGAAGCTTACTTAACTACCTCTAGACATACGGTATCTCAATCTCCGAGTACGCTTGGGATTCATGGAAACCCTATAACCTCCCCGAGAACGATGCCATCCAGCTCGAGTTCAGCATGCTCTCCCCGTTCCATCGCCTCGATCTCTCACCCGTCTCCGTCACTAGGGATGCCACCGTTTTTGGTACCTCTTTCACTCTGCCCGACCAGCATGGTATTTTCAACTTCCGCGTAAACTACAAGCGCCCATTCCTGTCCGTCGTTGACGAGAAGCACACCGTCAGCGTCAGGCACATTGCCCACGATGAGTGGCCTCGCAGCTTCGTCATCTCTGGAGCCTGGCCCTGGATCAGCGGAATCGGCGCCACCGTCACCGGCTTCCTCGCCTTCTGCGCCGTCTGGGTTTACAGTAAGCCCACTCCCAAGGCTGGAAAGGCAAAGAAGACTCAATAGGGGTCGAATCTTCAAGGGAAGGGGGGGAAAATTCGTGGCCGAAGTGTACGGTTCCGGGTATGAAACCTGGAAGGACAAGTCAGGGAATAGATTTGGGGATTCAGAAGAGCAGCCCCATGATCGCTCTTATGGGGGCGATATATGTAACTTAGAGCAGGCATTTTTTGATGATCTGTAATTTTATGTTTTTAAATTTATTCCTGCCGCCTTTGTGACAATATCTCGAGATGTGCTACATACATGTAAGGGTCAGTTTGGGATAATTTGTGAAGCCAGCTCGGTTTTCGCCTCTTCTCATTGTATTTCTCTAATCATTAATGATCTAATTTTGGATTTGATTTCATTTGATTACCATTATTCAGAAAACTGCCCACCATAGTGCCCTCAGATTAGCTCTCTTGTGTTCTCACTGGCAACTCGCGCGGACTTGTGCTAGGGTCGAAGAGGACTTCCTCAACCCTGTTGCGCTGTTGTCTGCAAATTTGGCTTTTTGGACACATTTGATCATCACCGGGCTGGTGTTTCGGCAGTCTCCCTCCTTGATCTCCATGCTCCCAACGCTCCTGCCACGATTGGTCACCATCTCCATCAGTCCACGGTAAACCCAAGCCTGCTCCGATTGAAAACTATTTTTGAATCAGTTCTTCATGAGCCACATCTCTGCTCTTGATAGAGTCGAGAGACGCAGTTGCTTCAAACATGCATGTTGTCTGTCATTGCGGCTGCGAAAGGGTTAGTGAGAACTGAGGAATGGCACCCGCCTCGCGGTAAGGGAAGAGAAGAGTCATGGCAAGGAGGAAGTTGTGCCAGAAGGAGTGTATTTGCTCAGATTTCTGTTCTTCGTAAGAAGTGGCTCATTCTACCTCTCCATGATCCGGTTCTGCCAGAGCAGACCCTGGGTGGAGAGAAGTTACCAAGCTCTGATGTGATCATCTATCATCATTGCAAAAAAGAGGCAATAGAGTAACTAGTAGTTAGTGAAATGAAGTCTGTGCTGATTTGAGGAATGTTAGCAATCAACAGAATTTTTAAGATAGCAGATGGTTGAAGCGGATGAAACAGCGGCGATATGGGGATATTCGCCATAGGCCAAGAGTGGACATTTCTTGAGAGGACTTCCTCAGAGTTTTGATCGAGACTTGTAGTGAAAAACCAAGGGACACGCGAATGGATGGGATGCACAAGGGTTCCTCCAGGATGATGGATGGGGAGACGGTCAAGTTCTGGACGCGATGGAAAAGGACAAGGCGCGTAGGTGTTAAGGCAAAGGATCCGAGCGGAAGTAGAAATCACAAAGGATGATGGGCTCTCAGAATGATGAGAGAGGAGAAAAAAGTCCAAACACCCCAGTGCTAGGAGACAGACAAGTAGGCAGGTACGCGGCTCGTCAATCAGCATGACTTGAGGAAGGTCTGAGCAACGCGTTGAGTTTGGACAAGGGAAAGAGCTGCCTGAGGCGATGTGGGTCCGGTGATGGTTGTGGCGTAAATGTGTGGCACACTTTGGGCACGCGAGGCTGAAATATTAGCAACAAATAATCTACCAAGCAACTGGTTCAACTTCGCATCTGTCCTCATATATCGCCTTCTCAGACAAGCTCTTCGCTCCCAGGTCGGCAAAATGGTACGTATTCGACATCTGCCATTTTCGAGGTGTGCGCTAACTTATTTTCTACAGGCTCGAAATTCAGAAAAGGCGCAGTCCATGCTGTTTCGCTTCCGCGAAGCACAAGCAGCGGACTTGGGAATTGTCGACGCCGGCCGATCGCGCCGTCCGAAGCTCATCACCGAAGTCGATACCGTACCGGCATGCGAGAAATGGAGAGGCCAAGTGATCAAGGAGATCTCGCGCAAGTCGTCGCGG